CAACTCAAAAGCATCAATTCTTCTTCGGCCTTCCTTATTCATTGTCCAGCTTTCACATGCATATGAAGTAATTGAAAACACTGAGGCTTGTGTCATGCTCACCTTCGTCTTCAAAGGGACATCTTTGCTCTTCAGCACTTTAAAGAGCTCTTTTGCAGTGGATTTGCCCAGTGTACGTACACAGTCTGATTTCCTGACTTCCATTGGTGTTGATTGTGGAACCAAGCAATATGAAATCTTTGACGACTTCAAACTTTTCTCCATTTATTGTGATACTGTTTCTTGGTCCAGTTGTGAGGATTTTCATTTTCTGTGTGTTGAGGTGTAATCCATACTGCAGATTTTAAACTTCATCAGTAAGTGCTTCTAGTCACTTTCACTTTCAGCAAGCAAGGTGGTGTCATCTGCACATTGCAGGTTGTTAATGAGACCTCCACCAATCCTGATGCCGCATTCTTCTTCATATAGTCCAGCTTCTCTGATTATTTGCTCAGCATACAGAGTGAGTAAGTATGGTGAAAGGATACAATGTTGATGCACTCCCTTCCTGATTTTAAACCATGCAGTGTCCCCTTGTTCTGTTCAAACAACAGTCTCCTGGTCTATGTACAGGTTCCTCATGAGCACAATTAAGTGTTCTGGAATTCCCATTCTTCTCAATGTTATCCATAATTTGTTATGATCCACACAATCTAATGCTTTTGCACAGTCAATAAAACACAAGTAAACATCTTTCTGGTATTCTTTCCTTTCAGCCAGGATCCATCCGACATCAGCAGTGGTATCCCTCATTCCACCTCTTCTTCTGAATCCAGCTTGCATTTCTGGAAATTCGCTGTCAATATACTGCTGCAACTGTTTTTTAATTATCTTCAGCAAGATTTTACTTGTGTGTGATATCAATTATATTGTTCAATAATTTCCACATTCTGTGGGATCACTTCTTTGGAATGGGTACAAATACGGGTCTCTTCCAGCCGATTGGCCAGGTAGCTGTCTTCCAAATCTCCTGGCATAACTGAGTGAGTGCCTCCAGTGCAGCATCTGTTTATTGAAATATCTCAATGGGTATCCCGTCAATTCCTGAGGACTTGTTTTTTCCAAGTTCCTTCAGTGCAGCCTTGACTTTTTCTTCAATACCATTGGTTCTTGATCATATCCCACCTCCTGAAATGGATGAACATTGACCAATTGTTTTTGGAACAGTGACTCTGCATATTCCTTCCCACCTTCTTTTGATATCTCCTAAATCATTCCATATTTTGCCTGTAGAATCTTCCAATATTTCAACTCAAAGCTTGAATGTTTTTCTTCAGTTCTTTCAGCTTGAGAAATGCTGAGCATGTTCTTCCCTTTTGGTTTTCTAACTCCAGGTCTTTGCATATTTCATTATAATAACTGATTTTGTCTTCTTGAGCTGCTCTTTGAAATCTGTTCAGCTCTTTTATCTTATCATTTGCATTAGCTAATCTCCGTTCAAGAGCAAGTTTCAGAGTCTCTTCTGACATCCATTTTTGGTCTTTTCTTCATTTCCTGTCTTTTTAATGAACTTTTGCTTTCTTCATGGATGTTCTTGATGTCACCCCATTAATTCTTCTGGTTTTCATTCATTGGTGTTCAATGCATCAAATCTATTTTTCAGATGGTCTCTAAATTCAAGAGGGATATAGTCAAGGTCATGTTTTGGCTCCGTGGACTTGTTTTAATTGTCTTCAGCTTCAACTTGAACTTGCAAATGAGCAGTCGATGGTCTGTTCCACAGTCAGCTCCTGGCCTTGTTTTGGCTGAAGATACCGAGCTTCTCCATCGCCTCTTTCCACAGATGTAGTCGATCTGATTGCTGTGTACTCCATCTGGTGAAGTCCATGTGTACAGCCACCGTTTGTGTTGTTGAAAAAAAGGTATTTGCAATGAATAAGTCATTGGTCTTGCAAAACTCTATCATGCAATCTCCAGCATCATTTCTGTCACCAAGGCCAAATTTTCCAACTACTGGTGATTCTTCTTTGTTTCTAACTTTTGCATTCCAGTCACCAGTGAAAATCAACACATCTTGATTGTATATTTGGTCAATTTCAGACTGCAGAAGTTGGTGAAAATGTTTAATTTCCTCATCTTTGGCTTTGGTGGTTGGTACATAAATTTGAACAATGATAGTATTAACTGGTTTTCCTTGTAGGTGTATGGTTATTATCCTGTCACTGACAGGATAGATCTTGAAACATTCTTTGTGATGATGAATGCCACACCTCTTCAATTTGTCATTCCCGGCATAGTAGATCATATCGTTGTCTGATTCAAAATGGCCAAAACCAGTCCATTTCAGCTCACTAATGCCTAGGATATTGATCTTTATGTGTTCCATTTCATTTTTGACAACTTCAAACTTTCCTAGATTCATGATTTGTACATTCCATTTTCCAAATATTAATGGATATTCACAGCTGTTTCTTCTCACCTTGAGACATGCCACATCAGCAAGCAAATAGGGATCCCAAAAGCTTTACTCCATCCACATCATTAAGGTCGGCTCTACTCTGAAGCAGCAGCTCTTCCCTAGTTGTATTTTGAGAGCCTTCTGACCTGAGGGGTTCATCTTCTGACATATCGGACGGTGTTTCAGGGCTATTCATAAGGTTTTCACTGGCCAATTCTTTGAGAAGTGGATGGCCCCATCCTTCTTCTGAGTTTGTCTTATTCTGTAAGCTCTGCTGATACCTTTCCACCATGGGTGACCTTGCTGGTATTTGAAATAGTGGTGGCATAGCCTCCAGCCTCACAGCAACACTCAAGCCACCACAGTACAACAGACAGAAGAGTGGTGGAAAATGTGGGGATAGGACCATGCAAATAAGGAGACTGTTCAATTTTGCCATCCCACTAGCTTGGCTTAAAATGAGCCCTCACAGAGGCAGACAAGGGGACCTCATTACCACCAAGAAGAAAAGATGGGAGCAGAGTGTGTGTGTCCTTTGGATCCAGCTGAGAACCTCCTGGAGTCAGGAGACAGGGAGAGAGAGCTATAAACCACAGACGCCATAAGACAATGAGAAGTGGCCTTAGAGAAACTGGTAGCAGGACCAGACCAGTTTGAGACGCTGCAGTGGGCTCCCCAGCCTACACAGCAAGGCAGTTAGCACGGGTGTGCTGGCCCACGGAGCGACAGAGCTGAGCACCTTCTGGCAGAGTGAGGGGCCTCCGGGCATGCGGTGGTGTAGCTGGAGCTTTGCAACACTTGCCCAAGCAGGTGCCGAAGTCGGTCTGGCCCAAGAGGCCCAAGGGCCAGGGAGAGGCCTGCCTGTGGGCACAGCTGAGTCATTCCTGATCCTGAATCGCAACGGCTACCTCCCTAATCACTGTGAGTACGGTCTGTGTGGCCAGTGCAGTGGATTACCGAACCCAGCAGAGGGCCGAGAGTGCCATCGGAGGCACGACTGGTGCCGAATTGTTAAAAAGGTTGGAGAGAGGACATCTGTCTGACCACCCCTCACAGGCACCAGTCTTGGGCTGTGGCTCTTGATCCTCCTTTCCTCTGGGGAAGTTAGAGGAGGGCAGCTGCTGCCACCACACCATTTTTACAGTTGGCACGGTGATTTATTTTTTTTATTTTTGACATTCTCTCTCATAAGGATACTTCAGGCCCCATGGGCTAATCCAGGCCCGCCTCCTCCATCCAGGATAGCTGAGGGTGGAGGAGAATGACCCATCATGGCCTGATGGGCGTCAGAGTGGGGGAATGAGCTCCCCAGTGGGAACTCTGGCCGCTAGGAAATGGGAGACAGGAGGTGCTGGGGCAGGAGAGCCCCCTCATATCTCCTTCCCGGAGACACAACAGCAATTCCTGAAGAGCAAATCCAAACGGCCAAGCCATCGGACCCCACGGAGGTGAAATGCTGGAATCCACCAGGGCCAGGAAAGCCATGTGGGATAACACCCCGCAGGCTGGCCGGCTTACTTTAAAGCTCTTAACGTTCACCTCTGGTGGGGGAAAAAGCAAAACAAGAACTCACACACATACAACCTCCACCCAGAAATTCTACTCCCTGGGACACACCCACTGCCCATCCTGGGCGTGGCCAGATTACATCTTGGTAAGAGCACCCCTTGGGTATCGAGGAACCAATGAAAAATTAATGAGAGCTCCACAGGACTATTTGGAGAGATTTTGTGAGGAATTTATTGAATGAAAAACAGAAAAGCATGAAATGATCCCATTTTTTAAATAACCAGACAGCCCAAAGTGCCTGTGTGGCTGTATGTGTACAGATGCGTGTGTTTGTGTATGATTTGTATGTAAGCAATGGGAGTACGGAGAAAAACATGGAAGGAACCACTTATCAGCTTATTACGGTAGACGGGGGAGGGGGGCGGCAACATAAGAACCAAGCGAATGAAAATGAAAGCTGCCCTATATAGAACATGGCTCTGTGTGTGTGTGTGTGATGCAATATGGTGTCTAAATGGTAGGCAAGCAACAGGCAGGAAACGTGTCTGCTAGGACAGTAAATGTTTCCAGGCCAGCAGCCGCTGGCTTCCCCGGCCAACCTCGAAGGCGGCTCCAGGACTTGCAAAAAGAAGCAAAGCCAAGCCAGCTGCAGCCAGGGACTGAGCCGGGCTGGACCGCCGGGCTCGGCACCCTCACGCCTCATGGTCCCTGCCAAAGAGACGTACCCAGCGGATCTGGACAGGCGTCATGCACCCACCAGCATCCCGACGCCCGGGGGCGACTGAAGGGAACCCCAGACTCGAGCCGCGTTAGGGTTTCGAAACCGGCCGCGGACACAGATCTCCACCTTGGGCTAGGGGAGCCGTCCTTCCCCAGGACTTAAAATGGGGAGCCGAGTCGCCGGAACCATAGTTCCCGCAACCCTTGGTGACATGACCGCCGGAAACTTTAGTCCAATAACCGGAAGTAGGAAGCTCGTCCGCCAGAAACAGAGCGCCTGGGAAGTCGTAAGTAGTGAGCGGGGCCGCTGGGAGCTGTAGTTCTTTTTGAGCGGGGCGGGCGACTCGGCGGCATGGCGGGGCTGGAGCTGCTCTCCGACCAGGGCTACCGAGTGGATGGGCGGCGCGCCGGGGAGCTGCGCAAGATCCAGGCGCGGATGGGCGTGTTCGCGCAGGCCGACGGTTCGGCATACATCGAGCAAGGCAACACCAAGGCGCTAGCGGTGGTCTACGGGCCTCACGAGGCGAGTGGGCGTGCACCGACCAGGCTACTTCAGGGCGGGAGGAGGAATCAGGCTAGGGGGAGCTGCGGGGGGCGCGGGGCGCTCCTCCGCTCACGAAGCTGCGGCTGGAAGGCTTGCACTTCACTCAAGAGTAAAAGCCAGAGCCTTTACATGGACGTTGCACCGTGGTTTCGCCCTTCTGATCGGCCTCAGTTCCGGGCGCGTCCCAACCGCCCAGCCGCTGCTCTCGGTCACGTGCCTTGCTCCTTTTTCCACACGCTATTCCGGCGCTAATCCGACGTCAGTGTCCTGATAACACCCCACCAGGCCACCTTATCTACGTGGGAAGTCTTTTCTCCTAAAACAAACACTCTCATTCCTTTCTTTGCTTTTTGCATCTTTCCCTCAAACATCAATTTTATCTGTCTTTCTCAAATTCATGAAACTTATCTGTCTCCCATCCCATTAATAGACAGCTACCCAGCCAACCGACTGGAGGAGAGCCATATTTGGGTCCATTCCAAAGACAGGTGATCCAACGCAATGTGGAAATTGTGGAGCACTATTACTATCATATGCAGACAAAAATTTACTGAAGATAATCGAATGGTTGCAGCAGTACATCAACCGGGAACTGCCAGAAATTCAAGCCAGATTCAGAAGGGGACAGTGGAACAGGGAGATCACTGCTGACGATGAGATTTTTGGCTGAGAGCAAGGAATACCAGAAAGATGCTTATCTGTTTTATTGACTATGCAAAGGCTTCAATTGTGTGGATCATAAATTATGGATGACATTGCAAAGAATGGGAATTCCAGAACACTTCATTGTGCTCACCTGGAACCTGCACATAGTCTAAGAGGCAGTCATTCTAATAGAACAAGAGGATGCCATGTGATTTAAAATGAGGAAGGTGTGCACTAGGGGTGTATCTTTTCACCATGCTTATTCAATCAAAGTGCTGAGCAGATAATCCGACAACCTGGACATACGGAGAAGAACACGGCATCAAGATTGGAGGGAGACTTATGAACGACCCATGACGCAGATGGCACAACTTTGCTGAAAGTGATGATGGCTTGAAGCACTTACTGATAAAGATCAAAGACTACAGTCTTCATTATAGATTACACCTCAACCTAAAGAAAACAAAAACCCCGCCAACTGGACCAGTAAGCAACATCATGATAAAAGAAGAAAAGATGGAACTTATCAGGGATTTCATTTTACTTGAATTCACAATCAATGCCCATGGAAGCAGCAGTCAAGAGATCAAAGGACGTATTGCATTGGGCAAATGTGCCGCAAAAGACCTCAGTAAAGTGTTGAAAAATGAAGATGTCACTTTGAGAACTAAAGTGTGCCTGACCCAAGCCATGGTATTTTCAGTTGCCTTATGTGCATGAGAGCTGGGCAGTGAAAAAGGAAGACTAAAGAAAAACCAGTGCCTTTGATTTATAGTGCTAGTGAAGAATATTATACACCCAGAAGAGTGAACTAATCTTTGAAGCAGCACAGCCAGAATGCTCCTTAGAAGCGAGGCTAGGAATACTTCGTCTCACGTACTTTTGACATTTTGTCAGGAGGAACTGGTCCCTGGAGAAGGGTATCCTGCTTAGTAAAGTGGAGGGTCAGCAGAAAAGGGGAAAGCCCTCAAATGAGATGGATTGACACAGTGGCTGCAATGATGGGCTCAGACAGCAAGGACTGTGAAGATGGTGCACAACAGGGCAGTGTTTCGTTCTGTTGCACAAAGTGTCGCTGACCTGGAGCCAACTTGACGGCACCTAACAACAGCTGGAACTACACTCCTTGAGGCAGGGCCTCTGGGCCATTCTGTTCACTGCTGTGGCCCCAGCACTGTAACAATGATGCCAGCGTTGGCACCAAAGATAACTGTCTGGTGAACAAGCCTGTAGCCCAGCTTTCGCAGTGAAAGGAACCAGAAACGCAAGGGTCAGAGGGTGGGAACCAGTGGGGCCTGTTTGCAGAGCAGAAAGGCTGCTTGTCAGGGAGGGAAGGGATGATCCCAAATGAGGCTGAGGGGTTTCCAGGGAGGGGAGGATTTGGGAACTTGTAGACCAGGGAAACAGGCGATGCAAAATAAACCCAAGCCTGTCAGGCTTGCTGTCTGTAATCACACTCTGGCTGCCAAATGGAGGATGGAGAGGGGTGGGGTGTGGATGAAAAGAGGGAGGCAGTTTCAATAGATCCGATGCCAGAGGTGATGGTGGCTGAGATGGCCCAAGTGGCCCTCCCTCGGGGTACGTTTTAGAGGTGAAGTGGTCGTATCTTGTGATGTTGGGGAGGGGGCTGAGGTCTGTGTTCAAGCCAGAGGACGGAGTAATATGCTGGGAGTGGCCTGGCTCACACACCCTTTCCTCCCCAGATCCGGGGCTCTCGGGCACGAGCCCTGCCCGACCGCGCACTAGTGAACTGTCAGTACAGTTCAGCTACCTTCAGCACAGGTGAGCGCAAGCGGCGGCCACATGGGGACCGCAAGTCATGTGAGATGGGCCTGCAGCTGCGCCAGACCTTCGAGGCAGCCATCCTCACCCAGCTGCACCCTCGCTCCCAGATTGACATCTACGTGCAGGTGAGCAGGCAGCCACCCTCAGCCTGGGCATGGGCCAGGAGGGTGGGCTGGGGGCAGCAGCTGGGCAGACTGATGACCTTGGGGGCTCCCTGCAGGTGCTTCAGGCTGATGGTGGGACCTATGCGGCTTGTGTGAATGCAGCCACCCTGGCGGTGCTGGACGCCGGGATACCCATGCGGGACTTTGTGTGTGCCTGCTCAGCCGGCTTTGTGGACAGCACGGCCCTGGCAGACCTGAGCCACGTGGAAGAAGCAGCTGGCGGCCCCCAGCTGGCCCTGGCCCTGCTACCAGCCTCAGGTCAGATTGCGCTGCTGGAGATGGACGCCCGGCTGCATGAGGACCACCTGGAGCAGGTGCTGGAAGCCGCGGCCCGGGCTGCCCGTGATGTGCACACCCTGCTGGATCGTGTGGTCCGACAGCATGTGCGTGAGGCCTCCATCTTGCTGGGGGACTGACCACCTGGCCACCAAACCCTGAATAAAGCTCTGTTCCTCTGCCCGCGTGTGCCTTGCTGTGCTTCAGTCCCCGAGGCATTTCCACACCCTGCAGTCTGTCTGGTGCTGGCTCCCCCATCTATCAATTGCACACCTCCTACAGCCTCAGGATTCACACCTGAAGAGGACAATGGAGTTGGGCCAGGCAAGGGGTCCCTGGGTGGCTGGGTAGGGAGATCAGCATGCCAGGACAGGCTGAAGAAGTGAGCCATAAGGCTGGGCCTGACAGGAGGAGCCTGGCCTCTAGACTCGGTCTGCCTCCAGGGGCTCTGAGCAGGGGGCTGAGGGGACAGCCAGCAGCTATGGGTACCAGCATAGGGGGCCATCTCCCACGTCCTCTGGACCATGGCTCCGAGCGAATGTCCCTTGGGTCCTAAAAGTACACCAGATGCCTGCTCGCCACTGTCCTTTTCTCTGTCGCCGCTTGGACCGTCACGGGTCTGACACCCTCTGCAAGCTCTCCTTCCACCAGCCTCCTCTCTGAAGGTGGGCAGCCTCCACCTCCTGCCACACACCCCTGCAGGGGGTACGGGGCCTCCCGTCCTTCTCACCCACCCCACGGCCGCTACGGCCTTTCAATGTCCAAACTTCGGCCTTCCACCCGCTTGCCCTTCTGAGCCGTCTCTGACTCTCCTGTCAGGCGGCGCCTTCGTACTGCCCGTCCCTCCCTTGCCAGCTCGACCCGCGGTCGGTCACCTTCACCGCTCTTCCCCGGCTGTGCGGCCCCCCTGCCTGCCTTCCATCCGCCGCTCCAGGTCAGTCTCCAGTTCCGGGCCCAGGTCTGCCCGGGGCACACCAGCCGCTCCCACCGCCCCCTTCCGGCCGGCCTCCGCTCTGGGCATGCGCCGTGGACGCGGGTACCGCCGGGACCGGAAGTGCGGGCGGCAGGGAGCCCCGAGTGACTGGAAGCGCGGCCGCGGCGGTCGGAGCTGGCGGCTCGCGCCGCGCCGCCCCGCCATGGGCCTCCTATCGGACCCGGTGCGCCGGCGCGCGCTCGCCCGGCTCGTGCTGCGCCTCAACACGCCCCTGTGGTGAGAGCGGGCCCCGGGAAGGCGGGGGCTCCCGGGCCCGGGGCTCGAGCCGCTGGTGGCGCGCGTCCGTTCCACCTCGTCCCCTTGCCCTCCCTCCCGCCGGCCCGCCCGGCGTCCCAGGTGTCGGTCTTTGGGTCCCTCGGCCCGCCCCCTGGGCCCTCGACGTGGACCTCCCGCTCAGGTCCCGGCGGCCCCGCCGCCGCCTCTCCCCGCAGCGTGCTGAGCTACGTGGCGGGCATCACCTGGTTCCTGGCGCTGGCTTTCCCCCCGCTGACCCAGCGCACTTACATGTCAGAGAACGCCATGGGCTCCACCATGGTGGAGGAGCAGTTTCCAGGCGGAGACCGTGCCCGGAGCTTTGCCCGGGACTTCGCTGCCCACCGCCGGAAGTCAGGGTGAGTGACCCCGCCGTGGGCGTGGGTCCCGGTGGCGCCCCGGCCAGGGCCCCTGCTCAGGGCCTGTCCTTGTGTCTCCAGGACTCTGCCGGTGGCTTGGCTGGAGCGCGCGATGCGGTCGGTGGGGCTGGAGGTGTACACGCAGGCTTTCGCCCGGAAATTGCCCTTCCCGGATGAGACCCGCGAGCGCTATGTATTTGGGGGCTGGCACTGTTTTGGCGGGGAGGCCACTTGGTCGGGAAATGGCAGGGAGCCCTGGGGCCAGGGAAACTCTTGGTGAGGGGTGTTCTAGGAACAGGAAAGGGGTGTTTCGGCCCTCTGGTGGGTACAGGCTGAGCCCCTCCCCTACTACGCACAGATGGTGTCGGGCACCAACGTGTATGGCATCCTGCGGGCCCCACGCGCTGCCAGCACTGAGTCCCTGGTGCTCACTGTGCCCTGCGGCTCTGACTCTACCAACAGCCAGGCCGTCGGGCTGCTGCTGGCGCTTGCTGCCCACTTCCGGGGTGAGTCTTGGGCTGTGAGCCAGGGAGGGTCTGGCTGCCGCCCCAGGCCAGACTGACCCTGTATTTGGCCTTCAGGACAGATTTACTGGGCCAAGGACATCATCTTCCTGGTGACAGACCACGACCTCCTGGGCACTGAGGCTTGGCTCGAGGCGTACCACGATGTAAACGTCACTGGTGGGTATCCGCAACCTGTCCTGGCCCCTCCTCGGCACTGGCCACCAGTTCCCACTTTCTCTGGCGACTAATTCCCACCCCAACAGGCATGCAGTCCTCACCGCTGCAGGGTCGTGCAGGGGCCATCCAGGCAGCCGTGGCCCTGGAGCTGAGCAGTGATGTGGTCACCAGCCTGGATGTAGCCGTGGAGGGGCTCAACGGACAGCTGCCCAACCTTGACCTGCTCAATCTCTTCCAGACCTTCTGCCAGAAGGGGGGACTGCTGTGCACCCTGCAGGGCAAGGTGGGGCTGCCCACAGTGGGGCTTGGGGCTGTGGGGAGCATTATCTCACGATGTTCTTGCACCCCCAAGCTGCAGCCCCAGGACTGGGGATCACTGGACGGACCGCTGCAAGGCCTGCAGACACTGCTGCTCATGGTGCTGAGACAGGCTTCTGGCCGCCCGCACGGCCCCCATGGCCTTTTCCTGCGCTACCGCGTGGAGGCCTTGACCCTGAGGGGCATCAACAGTTTCCGCCAGTACAAGTACGACCTGGTAGCCGTGGGCAAGTAAGTGACTCTAGTCTGTTGTCCGTGCTTGGGCCCTCACCTGGGCTGCTGGCTCTGGGATGGCAGGCCGTGACACTGTGTGCACCTTCAGGGCCCTGGAAGGCATGTTCCGGAAGCTCAACCACCTGCTGGAGCGGCTGCACCAGTCCTTCTTCCTCTACCTGCTGCCCGCCCTCTCCCGCTTCGTCTCCATTGGCCTCTACATGCCTGCTGCCGGCTTCCTGCTGCTCGTCCTGGGGCTCCAGATATCCCACAGGGGCTGCCACACCTCTCACCAGGGTCCTTGACTGGGCCAGTCTCCCATCTTCCTCTGGATGGGGCACGGGCCTGTCACCTCCCACCAGGGTCCTTGACTGGGTCACTCCCCCATCCTGCTCTAGGTGGGGGGTGAGCTTGTCATACTTCCCATCATGGTTTTTGACTGAGGTACTCCCTTGTTCTGCAAGGGGGGGGGGGTGAATACCTCCCACCCGGGTTCTTGACTGGATCACTTCTCTGTCTTGCTGTGGGGGTCACACCTCCCAACAGGGTCCTTGACTAGGTTCCTCATTCCCTGTCCTGCTCTGGGTGAGGGGCAGACTTGTCACGCTCCTTGTCAGGGTCCTTGACTGGGTCACTCCCTGGAACTGTGGATGAAGCTCCATGAGGCTGGAGCAGGCCCAGAGCAGGCTGGGGGGCCCCCTGGACACGTTCTCCCCCTCCCCCCAGCACAGGTGACAGTGCCTCTCCAGGGATCAGGGTGGGCCCCTGGTGTCCTGGGTGGTAGTTCCTTAGTTGGGGTGGGGAGGCTCCTGGGGGAACACTGGTACACAGCCTGCCTTCAAGCAGTCCCTGTGCCCCGCAGGGTATGGGGCTGGCCTCCCTTGTGGCACCGCTGCTGATCTCACAGGCTGTGGGCCTGGCCCTCTACATCCTGCCCGTGCTGGGCCAGCACGTGGCGGCCCAGCACTTCCCGGTGGCCGAGGCCGAGGCTGTGGTGCTGACGCTGCTGGCCATCTATGCTGCGGGCCTGGCCCTTCCACACAACGCTCACAGGTGAGGAGTGCGCTGGGTGCCCTGGGCTCACGAGTAGACCCGGTGGGCTCCTCTGAGCTGCGTGCCTTGCAGGACGGTGAGCACACAGGACCCGGACAGGGGCTGGATGGCGCTGAAGCTGGTGGCCCTCATCTACCTGGCTCTGCAGCTGGGTTGCATCGTCCTCACCAACTTCTCACTAGGCTTCCTGCTGGCTGCCACCATGGTGCCTGCTGCTGCACTCGCCAAGCCCCGAGGGCCCCGGTATGTGCCTATCACTGCCTTCACAGACCTACTCCCCTCATGGTGGGCCTACTCTCGCCCCTTCCACAGAGGCACCAGAGTTCTTGACCAACCCACCCTGCCCCTCAATTCTCAGCCTCACACAAGCCTGCCCTAACTCTGCCTGATGCCTGTGCGCCCCCAGGCCCCTCTACGCCCTCCTGCTGGTGCTGACCAGCCCAGCAGCCACTCTCCTGGGTAGCCTGTTCCTGTGGCGGGAGCTGCAGGAGGTGCCGCTGTCGCTGGCCGAAGGCTGGCAGCTCTTCCTGACGGCTCTGTCCCAAGGCGTGCTGGAGCACTACACGTACGGCGCCCTCCTCTTCCCAACAGTGGCCCTGGGCCTCTACCCCTGCTGGCTGCTCTTTTGGAATGTACTGTTCTGGAAGTGACAGCTGTGGCTTTGACACAGCCCCACCCTCCTGGGCAATAAACACGTTTTCTTCAGCTGCCTTAGGCCCCTGGCCATGTGGGGCAGGAATGGGGATGTGGTGTTCCATGAAGGGTGCTCACGGGTCACTGCCCTCGTCCAGCCGCGGTGTGGCACTCCAAACACCGTGGGTAGGACAGTGACCACCCAGCTTGGTCGGGACTCTGAAAGGGACACAGCCCGAGCCCTGTGCCTCTGTGGGCCCCAGCCTGGTGCTGTGTATGCAAGGTGTGCTGGGGCTGGGAGGCCTACAGGATACTGAGTACAGAGAGCTCCCCCCTGGGCTGAGTGGCACCGAGCTGGAGCGGCTATGGGAGGGCCAGGGAGCAGAGCATACTACCTGCACATGGGTACCTGGGTGAGCAGCCAAGGGCCCTGCTGGATGGAGAGCCGAGCAGGGGGTGCCAGAGGGCCAGCTAGGTACAGGTGAGCATGGTGGAGGGTGCTGGAGGGCTGGCTGGGATAGGCCCACACTCCAGAGCCCAGGGGGATTGCCATTCCTGCTCTGAGAGGACCTGAACAGGTGAGTCTAGTGTCCGTGGAGGAAGGGGAAACAGTGTGACCCTTTGGAGATGCCAAGGCCACAGCTGCCTCAGTGGCTCATTTGGCAGCCTCATCCCGTGCAGGCTGGAGGTCGGGTGCCGAACTTGGTACCTTCTAGTGTACATGGGTGGTTTCTGCCTGGGCCTGACGTGGGGCCCTGCCTGAAGGGGCTTGGGCTGTGTGCCCCCCCCCACACCCTGGGTCAGGCCAGGGGTGGTCTGTGCCACTTTCCCTGCAAACTTGTCTGTTCTGGTGTGGTATGGGTGTCCAGGGGCTAACATCATTGGAACTTGGCCAGAGCAGGAGACTTGGAGAAAAAGGGGGGGGGGGTAGGAAGATCCCTGAGCCCAAAGGGCCAGGGATGGCCAAGCCAGGGTCTCTAGAGGCGGCCTGGTGGGTCATGCCAGCCTGCTGGGCTGGGTCTAACCATTGGTGGTGGAGAAGGGGCTGGCGTTGGACTTTGTTCTGGAGGCAGAAACAAGGTGGAGAGTGGAGGCCACGCCACCACCCACCTTTCAGATACAGGGCTTTCCATGTTGTCCTCAGACCCCTCCCTAGATCTGCCTGTGGCCATGTACCAGCTAACGGGTGCTGACCAGAGGATGCCCCCTCAGGCCAGTACCCCATGCCCAGCCCAAGGCTGACCTTGGCCCACAGGGACCTGGAGACACCATCAGGATGTGCTGTGGGCATTCATCCTACACCCTGCTCCTGAACCCCACCCCGGGCTCCCCCTTCTTGATGCCACCTCTCCCTCCCAAGTTGGTCTCAAGGATGTGTGCCTCCACCTCCACTGAGGGGTGGGGACCTCTGCTCTTCTGGGCCCCAGGCACGAGGTCTCCTCAGAAGTCCTGTGGCACCCCCAGGGTGAGTATAACTCAGATCCGAGCCTTCATTACATAGCCAGAGGCCCATAGCTACGCGGATAAACCTCACCCCTCAGTGTCCAAGACGGGCCACACCACCTGACCTGCTCTTCAGAATATGCTCGTAACCACCAAGAGAGACCCTGGGCTCACTAAGCTGTCACTCCCCACACGCCCCTCCCCTCAGCCCCTGACAACCAATGATCTGCTTTATGTCCCCTGGATTTGGTTATTTCAGACACTTCTTGTAAGTCACACGACCTGTGGCCTGTCAGCCTCTTTGACTGAACATGTCTCCCAGGCTTAGCAGGTTATCCCATGTATCAGGGGGCCATTCCTTTTGCTGACTAATAGTCCAGTGTGTGGGTTTGCCACGTTCTGTCTGGCCCTTCATCATTGGATGGACATATACCTTGTTTCCTCTGCTTGCTGTTTTGAACAACGCTGTAAGGAACATCTGTGTCCAGGTTTGTGTGTGGACATAGGATTTCAGTTCTTTTGGGTATATACCTAGTGCTGGAATTTCTGGGTCACTCAGGAATTCTAGTTTAACTTTGAAATTGCTGCTTTTCTAAAACACCCGCACCATGTTACATGCCCACCTCAACAGACGAGGGTTTCCCTCTCCCCATGCCCTCATCAGTGCGCATCACTTCATGACTTTTGTGGCCATCCTAGTGGGTGTGCAGGAGGGTCTTGTGCTTCTAGTTGCATTTCCCTGGTGACTGACAGTGTCGAGCATCTCACAGGTGGTTAGCTTGCTGGGCTTTGGTACCTTCAGAGACAAATCCATTGTAATCATTTATTCCTAACACATTTTATTTGTTAGAGCAGCCTTAGATTTTCAGAAAAATTGCAGTGAAAGGGCACTGTCTCGTTGACCTGCCCCTCCCCAGTTTTTCCTGTTAACCCGCTTGCATTCCTGTAGTACACGTGTGGCAGTGTATGACCAATATTGGTACTTCATCATCAGCTACACCCACAGTCACGTGTGGCAGTGTATGACCAATATTGGTACTTTATCATCAGTTACACCCACAGTTTGTATGAGGGGCACTCCTTGTGTTGTACTGTCCTATGGGTTTTGACAAATGCATAATGTCATGTGTCCACCATGACAGTATTACACAGAATGGTTTCCCTGCACTGAAAATGTTCTGACCCCCACTTGTCCACCCCACTCTCCTCCCCGAGCCCCTGGAAACCACTGATGTTTTCACTGTTTCCATAGTTTGGCCTTTTCCAGAACATCATAGAATTCAAATCAGTGCAGTGAGTTACTTAATATGGCTCTTCTAGCCATGAATAGATTTGATGCATTGAGCACCAATGACTGAAGACCAGACAAGTTATAGGATGACATCATATTGAGGAAAACGAGGTCATTAAAAAGCCAGGAAAGGAAGAAACAGATGTCAGAAGAGACTGAACGTGCTCTTGAATGGAGAGTAGCTAAAGGTAGTGGAAGAAATGACGAAAGTCTTGAACGGGAGAGTTCTGAGGGCAGCCCAAGAAGGCAAAGTAAAATATCCTAATGAAATGTGCAAATGCCTGGAGTTAGAAAATCAAGAGGGAAAAACACACTTGGCATTTCTTAGCTGAAAAGACTAAAAAAAAATCTAAGCCTTGACTTGCAATTTTAAAGGATTTTATGGATAAAATATTGAATGATGCAAGAACCATCAAAAGAAGATGGAAGGAATAGAGTCACTGTCCAAAAAACAAAACAAAAAAAAGTCAGTGTTCCACTACTTCAAGAGGTAGCATATCATCAACAAGCGATGGTGTTTTAGTTACCTAGTGCAGCTCTGACAGGAATATACCACAAATGGGATGGTTTTAAAAAACAAGAGTTTATTCTTAAGAGTTGGAGGCGCAAAGTGCCAGCCTCTAGGAGCTGGATGAAAACCCCTCAACCTTGGGTTTTAGCTCTGCCTCCTGCTCCTGGCTCACTGGACCTGGAAGCTTCACTCAGCAGCTGGCTGCTGAGGCTGACAAGCCCAAAGTTGACAAGTAATAAGGCACAGTCCCAATATTACCAAATCACATGGCAGGCCATTCATTCAAGTCCATTAAACATCCCAAGATCGGCAGAGCATGGCAGGCTGCTGAACAATTATATGGCTACATGCAGGGTTCAAGTGTGCCATAAGCTAGAGACCACTCACCAAGGCTCCTCATATAAAGGAAGCAGACCACATCCCTAAGGCAGCTACTCAGCTGCTCACAGTAGATTCCACCATGGAGTTGACTACCATTCTCATCATGGGGAATACTACATCCAGCTGCCCAGCCACTCAACCAGGCCCAGCCAAGTTGACACACAACTTTAACTATCACAAATGATATTGAAGGAAAACAACCAAGCTGCACTGAGGGCATTGGCAAAAAAACAAACCCCCAGGAATTGACAGGATCCCTAATGAGATACTTCAACAAAAGGATACAGTGCTGGAGGCACTTGTTTATGCCAAGAAATTTGGAAGACAGCCACCTGGCCAACTGACTGGAAAAGATCCATATCTGTACCCATTCCAAAGAAAGGTGATGCAACAGAATGCAGACATTATTGAAAAATATCATTACTACCATAAGTAAAATTTTGCTGAAGACAACTGAAAAATTATTGAAGCAGTATATTGACAGGGAATTTCCAGAAATTCAAGCTGAATTCAGAAGAGGATGTGGAACGAGGGATATAATTGCTGATATCAGATAGATCTTGGCTCAAAGCAAAGAATACCAGAAAGATATTTACCTGTGTTTCATTGACTGTGTAAAGGCATTTAACTGCATGGATCATAACAAATTATGGATAACATTGCAAAGAATGGGAATTCCAGCACAATTAACTGTGCTCATGAGGAACCTGTATATAGACCACGAGGCAGTCATTCAAACAGAACAAGGGGATACCTCATGGTTTAAAATAATGAAAGGTGTGCGTTAGGGTTGTACCTTTTCACCACAGTTATTTAAGCTGTCTGCTGAAGCTGAACAATTCAAGAAGCCGGACTATATGGAGAACATGGAATAAGGATTGGAGGAAGACTTGTTAACAACCTGCCATATGCAGGCAACACAACCTTGTTTGTTGAAAGTGTGTGTTGGCATTTTCCAGAACATTATATAGAGTTGGAATTGCAATGAATTATCAAGCACTTACTGATGAAGATAAGTATGGATTAATCCTCAGTGTAGCCTGTTACTGCCTCAATTTAAAAAAAAAAAAAAAAAAAAGCTGAATCCATAAACATCATGATAAATGGAGAAAAGTTGAAGTTGTCAAGAATTTTGCTTTTAGGGAGTTCCAGCAAGATGGCGGACTAGGCAGAAAGACTGCACAGATCCTCTTCAACAAAGAAAAGGGAAACCAATTAACACAGACACAGAAGATAATCCTGGACCCCTGAGCCTTGAAGGGAAGGATATAGAAGTGGACTAAAACCCAACTTGCAGAAGAATTTGCGTGAGAATACCAAAAAAGGAGACATATGGAGCTGTGGTGTGGCAGTGGTGGTGAGCAATCCTGACGGCACAGACAGCTTGCAGA